TGCCGGCTGTCGTCTTGGCTGCCTTTAAACTCCCGCCGGCTTGCATTCCTTTCTGCCATTTCCCACCATAGCTGGAACTGGCGCAAAGCGGAAAGTTCAACTCGCAGATTCATGTGGAGTATCTGTGGGAGGCGCCGGAGCTGCTGTGCGACAGCGAGGATGACCTGGACGACAAGGTGTGACCCCCACCCCCTGCCTCTGTGCCCCCAGCTCTCCCCCACCACATCTCCTTTAACTCCCCTCTGAATGCTCCCCTGACCACAGGTCTCGCCCCGCTCCACCCGTGGCTCCCTGCATCCCAGCTCCTCCTCCCCCTCCCCCTCCCCCTCCCCAACCTCCTGGTGCTTGGGCAGCAGCATCTCCAACAAGACGTACGAGAATGTGGACTTTCTCTACCGCAACCCTCCCACCAACAGTGCCCCCTCTGGTGTCGTGCCGCCACCTCTGCCCGCCAAGGCTATCCAGAGAGGTGTGTGATTCTGTGGCGGAGCAGGCTGGGTGTTTGAAGTCTTTTCCCCCTTCACTCCAATGTGGCCTTACATCAGTGTCCCCCCCCCCAGGGCGATCAGAGCCACAGATCTATCCCTGCTCCCAGGATGGCAGTGCCCTGGTACGCCACTCCTCGAACCCCTGCTCCTATCGGCACAGCCCCCCCTCCCCGTTGCAGCCTGGGCACGCGGCACACCTGCAGCGGCAGACTGTGTGCTGGGACATTCCAAGCTTGGGGGGTGCCGACAGCAAGCCCCCCCTCAGCTCACCGCTAAATCACCTGGGACCTATCAGGTATGGGTCTTTCTGCTGGGACCCCCCCCCCCCCAGCAGATTGTGCTGTTGAGGAATCTCTGTCCCTCTGTAAAGTAAGCCCTTCCTGGGGGCCAAGAACGGTGGATCCTTTGCTCCATGTAGGTATGAAACAGAACTCTAATGTCCCCTGAGCGAGTCGGGCCTTTAAACAGGCCCCTTATGGGTTTAACAGCCATGGTAGTTTGGCGGGGGGGGCTTCTGAAGGCTGGGTGTAGCCTTTCTTGGATGTGTGCCTGGTGGATACATAACAAACCACCACACCTGCTCTGATTATTCATCCACATTCTGTGCAGGTCTGAGCATGCACTCTCTAGCAGACTCAGCCTTTCCTCTGTCGACCTCTTGTGGCCATTCTGCCAGTTGCAGTTTCAAGTTTCAGCCCAGGCAAACTGCACAAATTCACCGCGTCGCCTCCTGTCTCCTCGCCTGCAGCTCGGGGAAGACCACCTCGTACCGGCGGACCAGCAGCGGCGGGCAGGGGAAGTGCCCTGTGGCCTCACCCACCTGTGGTGGCATCCCTGATGAGCAATACTGCAGCCCTCTGGGCGGCAGCTCACCTACGGGGGGGCCTGTGCTACGCTCACGGAGGAATGCCATGGTCAGGGCAAGGCCGAGGTACGGGGGGGCTCTGTTCACACAGAGCGGTTTGGTGACCACAGGCTCTCCACGCAGGTGTCCCAACAGAAGCCCAGGCTGAGGCGTGTCCAGGCGCTGGTGGACTGCCGGGCCGTCTCTGCAGACAACCTGGCCTTCTACAAAGACGAGGTCATAGTGGTGACGGCTGCAGATGATCCGCACTGGTGGGTGAGTGACTGCCTGGCTACCCCAACTGGTCATCCCATTTACGGTGCGGCCTCTCGCTCGGCATCGCATCCCAGCTACGCCGTCAGCATCCCGGCATGAGCGGCTTCTTGCTCCGTTACGTCTCACCCATTTTCCTTTCTCAGGTCGGGCACATCGAAGGTGACAAGTCACGCTCTGGATCCTTTCCTGTGAACTACGTGCTCAAACTGGCCGACTGACCCCAAGGGGACCCTGCCGACCCTCTTCCCCACCCAAAGCTTCCTGACCCTCGTCAGTAGAGAAGATGGTCTGCATATCTGTAGACAAACTGATGCTAGCAGCTGCCTCCAGGCTGGATTTTAATTGGATGACAGGGCAAGGATGCTCTAGAAGTAGCTTCCTGTCAGCCAGCCCCTGCCACCTGGATCTTGCTGCCCCTTGAGTTCCGACCAAACCGAGAGACTGTGGATCTTGTGGGTGTCACTGGGATGTCATCCCATCTCACCATGTCACCGTCATTCAAAACGTGCCAGACTCAGCACAACTGGAGTGACCTGAACACAGCCAGGGCCCTGGACGTGCAATTAGGAGCAGGCAGAGCAACTCCTCCACCTCTCTGATGGGGTTCTGTTTTAAACATTATTGAATCACATGTCCCACAGGTGGCAGACTGGTGTGCAGTGCATCTGCCTGGGTGACCCTCATTTGTTTTTGGGCAGGTAAAGAATCACACGCATGCTGATGTTTACTAGCTTGCTGGTGTTCTGAACCAAAGCAGAGCTGTGTCCTCTCCTGACTGAGGATGGCAGAACTGAGCTGTAACCCTGTGCTCTGTAGCTGCTGGCCTATGTTTACACTATTACCGTTAAAGTCGGGTGACTGGTATTTCCACATACCGGAATTGTTGGTGTGGAAGTTGTTTACTATGATTCATTCAATTCGCATTGCAGGAGGGAACTGTGTACTGAAAGTGTGTTAAATGTAACTGCCGAACCTGCAGTATGTTCTGTTTTCACCCGAATCTGGTTATTAATATTTAAAGAGTTAGATGTTTGGCCCTTTGACTCCCGCTTCCCAGATCCCGTTCCTCAGATCCACCTGCCTTGTTTTTCCTAAAGCAAGAATTTCTGTATTAACTACTAATGAGTTTCTTGTGCATTGGTAAAATCGTGGTGGAACATTGGAACAGGAGATAAATAATAAAAGGTGTTTTTAACCTGGACTCCTTACCACCTAACCGTGTATTAAGGGAAGGATAGAGTTTCCCTCTTCCATCTGTGTGTTTGGGTGCATTTTTTTTTTATACTGAATCATGTATTTGGATCTCGTGGTGTTAGTTAATATTTTATTAAACCTCAGTAAAATAAAATAACCCATCATGAAGCCCACTTCCCAACTTGGTCAGCTATCATTAAACTTAATACCCCGAGTTGTGCTTCTGGACCGGTACCATCTGTGTGACATCCCTGGAATGCTGTTCCATTATTCTCATAGTCATTCCTGTGTTCCACTTTCAGCGAACACAGCTGTGTTTTGTGCAAATGGATGATTCACTGTTGAAAACAAGAACGACCTTCAGAGACGTACATAAAGCTGCTATTGCTTTCTTGTCCTGCTATCCCTTAGGCCCGCAAAGCTCTCTGGGACGGAGATGGCCCACCTTGCTCCCATGGAGTCCTACACTTTCTGTTCTTAGATAGCTTCGTCCTCAAGGGCATGACATCTGGCTGTTTGCATGGCTTCATACGTGCGGCGCTAACGTGCGGCGCTAACGTGCGGCGCTAACGTGCGGCGCTAACGTGCGGCGCTAACGTGCGGCGCTAACGTGCGGCGCTAACGTGCGGCGCTAACGTGCGTACATGGGCAGTGTGCGTTTTCCCCCAAATCCCGCAGGGTCATACTGTACCTGCTCTGCATGCCTGCTGCTGTTCCGCAGCAATGATGCTTATGCCTCATTTTGGGAAAGGCATGCATGTTGGTGACATTACGATAATACACTAAGAACTGTCATTTCACAATACAATCGACCTCGGTTGCAACATTCCCCGTCGCGGTTTTCATACATCGCATAAGAAATGGGAGCTTTTGGGAGTTCTGTGCAGATGACACACAAGAAGTTTAGCACTGTACTCTTAAATGCATGGAATATAAACAGCGCCAGGCGTGCTTGCAGCAGTCTCTCTTGGTATCTCGCACTGGCCTTTGCATCTTGTGTTTTTCCTGTCTTTTTCTGCTTCTCGCCTGCAAAGGGGACCAAAACATTTTCTGCAGTTTTTCCAGATCGCAGTGCTCTACCCCCTGCAATGTGCACTGACTGTAATGATATTTTAGCATCCCGCAAGAGAGAGATTCAAAATGTGGTATTTTAGTTTTTCTGCTCCCTGTCCCCCATCCCCCCATCAGCCAACTTTACCATGGGGCTGTGGAGGACCCTAAAGTCCAGGGCTGATGTACAGTATGGATATTTTTGCAGGTTCACATCAACTCTAGTGTGTGCATTTTGCAAATTTGCATTTTCAAGTGGGGAAATCTAAAATACCTAAGGGATGTACTTTTAAATAGTTCATAAACATTTGCTACAAAAACTGTAAACGTTGTGACCTCCTGAGAGACTGGTCTGTTTGAATTTTTAAAATGACTGGAAATCACAGAGCAATGAAAACACGTGGAAAATTGTGTTATTTCTCAAATTTATTTCTGAGTACAATCTCATCTGTACATTAAAAACAGCCAAAACAGGAAAAGTGGACATTCATGAATTACTCGGCAGTACCATGACACCAGTCTAGGAAGGGAGATGGACATCTGATACCTCGAGGACCCCTCCAGCCCCAGGGAATGCGCCGGCAGCACCCCTGTCCAGAGGTACTTGCCTCCACACCACTAGAGGGCTCTTAATTAAAAGCCTTTTAATAACGTCTGTTTGACTTCTCATCTCACACTGACATCGCCACAGCTGGGCTACTATGTTCAGGAACATGCTCCAGCTGAGTGGTATTCAGGTCAGCCAGAATGTTCAGGGTTTGAGCTGTTTGATGGCTGATTACAGGGATGTGCACGTCCAATTGGCCCAGACTCAGCTGTGGAAAAGGCTGTGAGGCCCAGTGACATGAAGCCCCTCAGAGGCCACAGACACACGAGAATCCGACAACCTCAGCCTGGATGCCCCCCCGAGGTCTTACAGACAGTGAACAGGGTGAGTATCCCTGTGCCGCTTCTTTGGGAGTGACATGCTGCTTTTAAGTTAGGGTGACCAGATAATCCATGTCAGGGAAGACATTTTGAGCTACTTCGGGTTTTACAAACTACTTTCAAATTGAAAGGCTCCTGTGCTCGCCTAAATAGTTCAGCTTTTCTTGTGCTTTGACTAGTTTGTTTCCTTGACTGAAAGACTCATCCAGCTGACCAATCAATTGCTGACCAGCAAGAACTCGGTGCTCAAGTGAAATCCAGGTCCGTTTAATTGAAATGGTAATTTACAATTCCTGTCCTAGCTCAGTGTCCTCCCTAACATGGATTATCTGGTCACCCTAGATAAGTAAAAAGTGATGGAGCAGTGGCTGCCTGACAAACAGCGACACCGAGTTACATTCAGTACCACACGTTTCATTTGGAAGAGCCATGCAGCCACTGCAGAGAGCGCCATCTCTGGACAGGACAGGGGTGCATGGACTGGGGTGGGTGAGGCTGATCCACGGGGAGATCCAGTCCTCGCTCTGCCACCGGCTCCGGACAGATCAAATGCTTGATATTTCACGTTAGAAACACATTCAAATACATTCAGATTGCTTGTGAGCCAAGAGGTCTTTGGGTAAAAGTGTGCGTGTTTGTGTCTGTATGAAATCGCGGATAAAGCGGAGCGAGGCTGGTAACGCCCCCGGACGGCGTGCACCCGGACCCCTGGCTTCTCGCTGCCATTTAAGCAAATGACTGTCCCAGAACTCTTGCTATCATTATAAACGTAGTTTAAAGACTCACAGCCGGAAAACAGAAGCATTTAATTCTTGCGTGGTTTTGCTCGCTTTATTATAAAGGACACGTCCGGAAGTCTATACTGTATATATCTAAGCTTTAGCCCTTGCGTTTGAACGTTCAAACGACCTAATAAAAATAGGGACGCGATACGGCGGTTAATTAACTACGTGTAAATGAGCAGCTTTAAACAGCACACCAAGCAGCACATCTCAGCGTTTATTTCTGCGCGTCGTCTTACCGATCACGGAGCACCACACGGCACTAATAAAGCTCTAACGTGTATTTCTCCATATAGCAGACGTATCCAAAGTAACCTCCATAAAGCTGTGACAATATAAGGCAGTATCGTATTTATATTACACAGAGCACCCGACCCGAGTGAAACCAGCGCGAACAAACTTAAAACTGTCAGAAATAATTGGTTTTATCGGTGGCTGGTGTGCAGTGCAGTCCTATATTAGAAGCGGCTGGATAGAAGCGGGACCCACAGAAGAGTCCAGGCAGCATAAAATGCAGCTTAAAAAAGCATTTAAAAGTGTTCAGCCATTCCAGTTCATCTCCTATTTAAAAGTAACTTCTAGGCAGTTAATTACTCACATTTTCATCTTTACATAAAGCATAAACTGTAACAGAGTTTTAAGTGTAAATTTAGTGATGGTACAGATAAATATGAGTAATGTCTAAGAAGCGTCACAGCGTTGTGTTTAAGCAGGATCCTGAAAACAGGGGCCATAAGGCTCCGTGCAGCTGTGTGTCGTGGTCTGGGGGTGTTTGGGCTCCTGTCCACTTGTCTCCGTCATAATGGAGGAGTCCGCACTGCACTGCACTGCATCCCTCATCCCGCAGTTTTAAGCACCCGAGTCCTGCAGAAACTCCCCCCTACATGCTATTTCTGGAAAGGGGCCATTCAGCCTTCTGGGACGGGGATCAGGGGGGTGTGTGTGTGGGGGGGGGGGGGCTAACGCAAACACATGCTGCACGCAGACTGTCTTCACGCAGATCTTTAAAGGGCGATGGTTACCAGCATCTCCTCCTACACACCATTAAAAGCTCTTATTGCACTCCTGTACAGAGACTCCAGTCATCATTTTTTAAAAAATAATCTGACGAGCAGAATACTAATAGAGTGTTAATATTTCACTGAACCTCTAAAGGACTACAGGACATTGGTCAAAGAAGCTGGATACAAAATCCCTGCAGGAAAATGGGCACCAGTGCCCCCCCCCCCCCCCGTTTCTGTATGAACCGATACCCAAAATGAGAACGGCTGCCTCCCATGACCATTACCCATCATGCAGTGTTCAGGGGGGTGCCTGCAATGGAAAAGAAAACAAACAAACCCCCCTGAAGAAAGTGAGAAGCTTCTACAGTCTACAGTTCAGTGTTTCCATATGCAGAGCACTCCACCCCCCCAGAGAAGACACTCACTGAGGGATGTGCCTGCAGTCGCCACGGAGATGAGTAACACGGGCATGTTGTCTTGACGATGGAGTCCACCCCCCCCCCCGCTGTGACCTTGCCGTTGCCGCTTCTCTCCCATGTTTACGTAACCGTACAGCCAAACCAGCACTGAGTCACCATGCGGGGGGGAGAGCGGGGGTGTTGGGCTCCATGCTGGTCAGTGCATGGTACAGAAGAGCAGCTGCGGTTACCTGGTGACCTGAGGCGTCCGGGAGACCAGCGGGAATTATCCAAAAGCTGGAGGATTCAGACGCATGTTTTCCGCATTGTGTAAGTCAGCAGCGAGGAGTCACCTGAGATTACACGACCAGCCAGAGGAAGAGACAGAGACACGCACGGTAGAACATCCACGAGAAGGTATAGCGCCCCCCTCAGGAAGGCAGGTGGCTTGCAACGAGGCTGTGGGGGTGGCCTTTCCCTACTTGAGCTTGACCCGCCAGGGCAGACACGTGCGGAGACCCAGCATGGAGGAGAACACGATGGAGGCCCGGCGGCCCTTGAAGCGCAGGCCCTTTTTCAGGCGCTGACCGTTCTCTGCAGCGTAGAGCTCCCCCTGCTGGGCAGCGCTGGTGATGCGGCCCACCAGCTCGCCGTGCGCCACCGCCTCCTGCTCCGAGCGCACGAACACATCGCGCAGCTCCTCCAACCGGCCCTCCATCTCGCGGATGACACGCTGGCGCTCCTCCACCTCCAGGAGGCGCCGCCGCGCCGCCTCAAACTCCATGCTGGAGCTCGGTGTCACTAGGCGTGAGGATGGGGCCGTGGCGGCGGCCGAGGCAGGTTCCGAGGTGGCCTGGGGGCTCGCCCGCCGAAAGTCCCCCATGGAGATGGAGCGACGAGAGGACTGGGGCAGTGGCAGGGAGGTGGGCCCCGGTGCAGCTGCCTCCACAGGGCTCTGTGTGTCTGCATCTGCATCTTCCTCATGCTGGAGCCCCTTCATGGCTGCCTGCTGCCGTACCTTCACCTCGTTCTGCTCCCTCTCCGCTGCTCCATTCATTAATAAGGGCCCGCACACCACGGCACATGCCATTGGATGCTGGGCTGTGACCACAGTGCATTCTGATTGGCTGATGGCTCAGCCTGTCTAAAATGGTCTCTGTCCCTCCCCCTGCTCTCTTTTTCTCTCTCTCCCTTCCTCCGTGATACTGCATCCCAAAAAAAGGATAAAACCTACTGAATGACAACCCCCAACCAGTCTCCTATCTCCCGTTAGTCACACTTGCCCCGTTACCTTGATTTCTGCATTGAAAGCCCCCGTCCCCCACTGCACCGAATTCCCTCTCTCTGCTCCACTCGTCACCCATAGCAACAGTCATGACATCAGCGGTTCTGCATAGGGGCGGACGTGCAGATGGCTCCCCCCCTCTCTCCCTCCCTCCATCTTCTGAGACGCAGACTTGATGAAAGCTCTGCTTGCCGTCACATTCTGAAGAGTCGTGTCCCCCAAAAAAGCCCCCCCACCCAGCTAATAACGGCAGAGCAGGGATCAGCAGTGTCTCTCCTGCCAGAAGCACCTTCACATTTGTTCGCAAGCAGAGGTCAGCAGGGGGCAGGACGGGGTGTGCAGCAGGAACTGCGCCGATGCACTGCAGACGCACCGAATGCCCAGCCTGGAGTCACGTTGCATTTCACTTGCTGTGCTGCCATCAGGCAGACGGAGATGAGCCCGGCAGTGTCCTCAGGACGGGAGCGATAAGCCTTCCAGGAACATTCCTCCAAATTCCGGCTTCGGTCCCCACACTCTTAGGGTGTTGCCCCTCCCTCCACCAGCCGTTGCACCTAGTGGACTACCTGCAAGGGGGCGTAATGTTGCATCGCTCTATGCTCCTGTGTTGAGGCGTGTTTGTGTGCTGGGGGTGGGGGGGGGTGTTGTAAGAGCATTTCTTTTAAAAGCTTCAGTCTTTGGGGAGTGGTGAGTTCTAATGTGGAGGGGGGCAGCTTTCCCCATTACATCAGTGTACCTGCCTGAGGGGGAGCCTCTTACTGTGGACTCAGGTCTTCGGGGCAGCTGAGCAAGCAGCACCCACTACATACTGCTGCAAACCCAAGTAGGCCGAATAAGGAGCCGTATCGACACCCTCGAAGCTGGCAGACAGAAAAGCACCATCACAGGCTGAAGACGGGAACAGGAAGGCTGCCAAAACACATTGCTGAGCCGCAGAAGGCAGAACTTGAGCCATTCTTTTGCACAGCGCCCCCCACAGGTGTCCCACTGCTTGTGTTGCGAGCAATGGGCCCACGTCCACCAAATATGACATCATCGGCCAATCTCCCTGCACCAGGCAGGGCTTGCAGTGGACAGCAGAGCGTGACAGGGCTGCAGAGAGATTATTGTGCAAGCGTGCAGTGTGACCGTGCTGCAGAGAGGCTAACATATGAGCCTGCGGTTTGACCATGCCACAGAGAGGCTAAGACATGAGCATGCAGTGTGACCATGACCGTGCCGCAGAGGCGCTAACACATGAGTGTGCAGTGTGACCATGACCGTGCCGCAGAGAGGGTAACACGCGAACATGCAGTGTGACTGTGACCGTGCCGCAAAGAGGGTAACACACAAGCGTGCAGTGTGACTGTGACTGTGACCGTGCCGCAAAGAGGGTAACACACAAGCGTGCAGTGTGACCATGCCACAGAGAGGCTAACATTTGAGCGTGCAGTGTGACCGTGCCACAGAGAGGCTGATATTAGAGCGTGCAGTGTGACCATGCCGCAGAGAGGCTAACATTTGAGTGTGCAGTTCGACCGTGCCGCAGAGAGGCTAACACATGAGTGTGCAGTGTGACCGTGAACGTGGCACATAGAGGCTAACACACGATTGTGCAGTATGATTGCTAACACATGAGCGGGCAGTGTGACCGTGTTCCAGAAATGCTAATATATGAGCATGCAGTGTGACCGTGTTGCAGAAATGCTAAGATATGAACATGCAGTGTGACCGTGCCGCAGAAAGGCTTAAACATGAGCATGCAGTGGACTGTCCTGCTGAGAGGCTGACGCATGATCGTGCAGTGTGCCCGTGCCACAGAGAGGCTAACGCATGAGCATGCAGTGGACTGTCCTGCTGAGAGGCTGACGCATGATCGTGCAGTGTGCCCGTGCCACAGAGAGGCTAACATGAGTGTGCAGAGAGGCTGACGCATGAGCCTGAAGTGTGACGATGCCGTAAAGAGGGTAACACACAAGCCTGCAGTATGACCATGACCGTGCCGCAGAAGGTAACACACCAGCGTGCAGTGTGACCATGACTGTGCTACAGAGAGGCTAACACATGAGCGTGTAGTGTGACCGTGACTGTACCACAGAGAGGGTAATACATGAGCGTGCAGTGTGACCATGATCATGCTGTAGAGGCTGATGCACAATTGTGGAGAAAGGTGGTCTCTAGCTTCTGTTGTGCGTATGTGAGATGCTGTAGCAGAGATGGCACGTTCCGGCTCTGTGTGTGCATGAACTGTAGGGGTGCTGACTCGCCCCCAGGGTACAGTCCAGTGTGTGTGTGCAGGGCAGGAAGGTGAGGGGCAGTGGAGAGTGGACATGCTGACACGCTCTTGCTCTCCATCCCATTCCTGTAGACCTGCTGCTAGGGCAGTGATCCTGGGCCCATGGGCTTGAGCAGTACTGGCTGCTCATCCTCGCCGGATCCTGGCGGCTACCAGTCAGCAAGCAGGGCAGCATTGGGTTACAATCAATTTCCCATGAATCTTTGATGTGCCAGAGTCTTGCTGGCATTAGGCCCGGAAGCCATCGACCCGTCCGTCATGTCGGGGAAGAAGGTTCTAAAAGCAGGTGGAACCAAGTCAGACGAGAATGAGAAGCAGCCATGGGCAGACAGGCAGGGCACAGGCTGTGTCTGAAAAGCAGCATGACGCGCTGAGCAGTGCCCTCGACAGTGTGGGGGCTGGGTGGCGTACGCAAGGTTGGTGTGTGTGTGGGGGGGTTGTGTGTGTGAGCAGTCATCCAACAGCACAGCATTATCATCCATCAAAAAGTGCAGCACAATCACGCTAACGGCCCTCAGTCTGGACTTAATGATGCCCCAGAAGCCATATAGCTTTGCAGCGATTAAGGTCGTGAAAATGATATGTGATGGTTTAGAGGAGCAGATTACAGCAAAAGAACATCCCAGCATAAATCGAACGCATCAGTTCTGGAACAGGGGTCATATTACCTGCCCAATGGAACATGGGGGGAGGGGGGGCCTGGTTCTGCCTCACACTTGTCACTATGGTGACTCCCACACAGGACACTGCCGCTCGATTCAGATTCTCCTGATGAAGGACTTTATTTCTTTTTATTCAGATGGGGTTTGAGACAGTAAGGCAGACCAGCGTTTGCTATTTCATACCAGCAAAAGCTCATGGGACGGAGACTAAAAGCTCACTAAGATTAGCAAGGCGGATGCACAGCGGTTTAAAGGAGCCCAATCCTTTACAGCAGACAGATGTGAGAGCCAGCTCAGCCTTCTACAGACCAGCCAGCAGAGGGCGCAACGACAACTTACCTCACAAATTACATTCAGCATCTCAGAAAACATAAGGCAAACAAAATGCTTTTTGAATGTGAAGGTGATGGGCACCACTGAATTTCCTCTTTACGTAAAGCTGATGAGCGATGAGATTCTGTCCCTCAACATCAGCCCTGTAGGGGGAGCTGCATCGCTGTGCTCCTCCTCTGAGGACCCCCCCACTTCACAACAAAAGCCCACATTAAGCAGTTTCATCATCCTCCTTCTCCCCCAGCTTGTAGATCCTGGGGAAACAGCCCCCTTCAGGAAGAGGAAGGAACAGAAAGGAGAAGACAGACAGCACCGAGGAAGAGTAGAGGACCATTTATTGGAGAGACTCTTCAAGGCAACCAGCACTCCCCTCTAAAGCTAGGGGGCGATGGCGAGCCTCGGCCAGTGCATCCCTGATTCACAATGAACACAGAACACGGGAGGACCCTGGGCTGATCTGACGGGACATAGAAAAAGCTGGAGAGCATGCTCTGCCCACACAGGGAGGGGGAGCGATACAAAACAGTCAGAGACTGAGAATGTTCCAAGATCAGGAGAAACTGGACAAAACAGAAGAAAACAGCAGGGGGGGGGGGGCAGGGGGCACCTCCACACGTACCCATTCAATCCCTCTTACATCTACCGGCCTCCTGTTGGCTAATATACGTTTTTAATAAAGGGCAATCGTTAAGGGCACAGAGCGGGGCTTCTGATTGGCTAATGTGTGTGACATCACCTGCCCACCGCCACCACTGGACAAGGTTTCACTTCCAATATCTAAATCAAATGAAATTTAAGCGTAGAGCCGGTAGGTCAGTGAGCTCCGGCCCGCAAATCACTCGCATGCTGATTCATGGATTTATTGTTTATTATCCATAGGGTGGAGGATGTCAAAGTGCTCAAAGTAACCCCGGTAACAGCCAGAACAGCAGCTTGAGCCCTTCACGGGAGCCAGCATGCTGCAGCGGAAAACCATTTCAAAATAAAAGTCCCGGCACAGACAGCATTTGGTGAACCCAAGAAACACCCAAAAAGCATAAGCGAAGGCCCCAGTACAGCATCACCATGGTGACCCCCAGACAGCTACCCATCGTTGACATGTCTGACGTGGAAGAAAAGGACCATTGCGTCACACCATGTCATGCCGCAAGGGGTCGACAGTCTCTGTGAGGTCTCACTGCACCGGGGACTCTAGGACAACTACCTGGCATCACATGTACAGGAGATATACTGTGTGTGTATATATATATATTCCAATGTGTAAAGGGGGAGAACGAACAAAAAAACACAGTGACGGAGGGCAACGACAGCAGCGCTGAGGGACACAAACAGTCAGAGAGGGAGTTCACAGGAGTGTCTCTGTCCTGCAGGGCGGCCCGGCGTCTCTGACACACCGCCCCCCGATCCTGAGCGACGCCTCCCACACAGCGGCCATCAGGCCGGTCCGTGGCCCGGATGCCAGCCGGCCGGGGCCTACAGGGACGTGGATGGCAGCTTCTTGACTCGCCGCTGTGCCAGGATAGATGACTCGATGGGTTTGAGCTGGGGCGTGGGCACTGAGCTCTTCAGGGCCGAGTAGGTGGCGGCCATGGCTCCCTACGCAGGACATAAGGGGAAAGCGTGGGGCCTGAGTGCGAGGATATGGGTGGGGTGGGGCGGGGCTGGGGAGCGCAGGGTGAGCGGTACCTTAACGAGCTGGGCGTCCTGATGCTGTAGCTGGCTGTTGGGAAGCTTGTCCCGCTGGACCATCCAGAGGTGCTTTAGAACCTGCCGGGCCGTGAGCCGCTTATGCGGGTCGACGTGCAGCATCTTGGACACCAAGTCCTGGGGGGGGCACACAGATGAAGGCATGAATACGTCTGCAAAATGCGTGTCACACAAATGCTGTGCAGCGTCTCCTGCGGGCCGCATCCCACCTTGGCGGCATCCGACACGAAGTCCCAGTTGCCGCCCTGCAGCGTGAAATGGCCGTTCCCGATGCGGCTGAGGATCTCATCAGGCGTGTCCTCGGGCCCGTTGGCAAACGGGGTGAAGCTGGGTCGCGAAGGGTGGAGAGGGCTTAGCGGATCTCACGCACTACATCCCCCCCCCCCCCCTCCACAGGGCCCTCTACTCACCCAGCCAGCATGGTGTACAGCAGAACCCCCAAGCTCCACACATCACAGCCCTCATCATAACCCTGCCGCTTCAGCACCTGCGTTGCATTCACACGAGAACCATCAGTGGATGTCAGCTGGGACCCCCTGGGAGCCACACCCCCCCCCCCCCAGGAATCACGGCCCCACACTCACCTCAGGGGCGACAAAGTTGGCAGTGTAGCAGGGAGTCATGAGGAGTCCGTTGTCAGCACGCAGCTGCTTGGCGAAGCCGAAGTCACAGATACGGAGCGACTCTGCGTTCCCCGACTCGTCCACGTAGAGGATGTTGCTGGGCTTCAGGTCTCGGTGGACCACCTGGGGGCACAGGACACGTGCAAGTCCAGCGATGCTCAGTGGGGGCTGCGTGCGGCCTATCGGGGTAGCGGATAGCGGCCTCACCCCCTGCATGTGCAGGTACTCCACGGTCTTGGTAATGGTATAGAGCACAGCGCTGGCCTCGCGCTCCGAGAAGAGCTTCTGCTTCAGGATGCGGTCAAGCAGCTCTCCCCCGCGCATCAGCTCCGTCACCAGGTACACCTGCTTCCCGTTGTCATACACCTGTGGGCCGGGAGGAGATGGCTGTTAAGCTGATAGTGGGTGGAAGGTAGGGGTCCTCTGGATGGGAGGCACAAACTCACATCCTTCAGGGTGATGATGTTGGGGTGCTGTCCGTATCGCAGCAGGATCTCTATCTCCTCTGTCGGGTCGGTCTTGGTCTTATCGATGACCTGGTACACAGGAGCACAAGGATATGAGCACGCAGCCACAGAGCATGTGCAGTACTGAGCCTGACGGGGGGAGGGATGGCACCTTGACTGCGTACTCCGTGTTGGTGGCCTTGTGCACGCAGCGCTTGCACACAGAGTAGGAGCCCATCCCGATGTCCTCCTTCAGGATGTAACCATCGCTAAACAGGATGTTCTTCCCGTGGAGTTGCTGTGCGACAA